CTCTGAGACTCCTTCGGGTAGTGAAGGGTGGTGTATAAATCCAATCTCTTCTTCTTATCTCAAATGGATGGTAAAATTAACACGGGTTGTAAATAACCACCATGCAATTGAATTCCACATAAAATACCAGAATAAGCACTTATTCTCCCCCCCTCCCCCTGGGTTTAGTTTTCCCCATCAGAAAAGCAGAAGTGTGTCAGTGTTTGCCGCAACACAACCCTTCTGCATTGCAAGATTCGGATCAAGGGCGTTGCCTTGGACTCCCGTCTCCAGTTCTGCCTCTTGGCCCGACGCCCCAGCCCTAAATAAAGTCCCTTGGCTTTAGCGTTCAGGAAAAAATTTCCATTGCCAGCTGACATTTTCCTTACTTTCTCTCAAAACATTCCCAGCGCCCCTTGGACAGGCGTGCTTGTTTGTTGTCCTGAAACCTTGCAAGGTTTTTTCCTGCTTTCTCCAAATTGTGATTCACACATTCCCAAGTTTTTTTGGCAGCGATGAGTGTTGTTTGGGTCCGCAGTGGATGAACTGCCTGGAACGGGAGTAGCATAAAATTGAACTTCTGCAACTCGGCAATCAGGCAGAGAATCCAGGACTGGAAACACCTCCTCGAGCGTTTCAGCTCTGCTAGGGCTTTACAGGAAGTAGCGCTTTTTCTCTCGGTCCCTGTCTGTTTTCTTATCCTTCTATTCCTGGCGTACTTCGGTCAGCCCTCCCTGCATTTTATGGTCGCAACACTCCTGTGAGGTAGGCTAGGCTGAATGACAGCTGGGCCTCCACAGGAAGTTTAGAAAACTTATTGAGGGCCAAAAGTTAAAAACATAAATAAGTATAGACAAAGGAGTGTTAAGGGGCCCAAATAAAGCCTCCTAAAATGTTCAAAGTAACAAAAGCACAAGAGCCTTCTTCAGAGGTCAGATAGTACCAGGGGTCATTTTGTAGAAAAAAAGAGGTGCAGGAGCTCATTAGCATAACTCATTTGCATATGCCACACCCCCTGACATCACCAGAAGTGTGTCAGAAGGCCACACCCACCGCTCAGGCTCCACTGGACTGTTTTGGATTGCTAGCTATTGGGGGGGGGACGTGCAGATCTGCCCTCGCAGAGGAGGGAGAGCTTGTACCTGCCACTGGACTGTTTTGGATTGCTAGCGATGGAGGGGAACGTGCAGATCTGTCCTCGCAGAGGAGGAAGAGCTTGTACCTGAATAAAACTTGGTCTTAAAGGTGCCACTGGACTGTTTTGGGCTGGGGGCACCGGGAGGGGGGGATCTGCAGCTTACCTGGCTGCTTCTTGCTCTGACTGAGGGCTGCTGGGAGCAGGGGGCGGGGCTTGTTGCATGTGCCCGCCCCCTGGGCTCTTTACTGCCGGAGCTCCGCTCCTGTGCGCTCCTGCAGGAAATGACCCCTGGATAGTACACAGCAACAAAGTCCCTGTAACACATGCACAGCGATAAACAATTAGTAATATAGTGCATTTGTCACTTTGAACATTTTAGGAGGCTTTATTTTGGCCCCTATGAAGTTTTTACACTCTTTTGTCTATACTTATTTATGTTTTTAACTTTTGGCCCTCGGTAAGTTTTCTAACAGCGTTCCGTGCGCCTTGGTGTTAAGTCATGCTGGCCACATGACTACGGAAACATCTTCGGACAGCGCTGGCTCTTCGGCTTTGAAACAGAGATGAGCACCGCAACCCTCGAGTCGAACTCGACTGGCTTTTGAGCAAGGGAACCTTTACCTTTTTTACCTAAGTTTTCTAAACTTCCTGTGGAGGACTTCCTTGGTTGCTTTAGTTTCTCTTCCCTTTTTTTTTGGGGGGGGGGTGAATGACAACTGGCCCAAGAGACTCCCCCTTCCAAGCTTGGGGGGGGAGTGGAAGCTAAGTCTCCAAGGTCTTAGTCCACCGCTCTGACCACTACACCACACTGCCTTCTGCTGCCATCAAACAACAGAAAGATGTGTCTATTCCGCTGCTAATGGAGCCAGCATTGCGTAATGGTTAAAGTCTCAGATGAGCATCTGGGAAACCCAGGTTCATTTCCACTCTCTGCCATGGTAGCTCGCTGGGTGACCTGGGGTCAGTCACAGACTTTCAGCCTTACCTACCTTACAGGGTGGTTGCGAAGATTTTAGAAATGGAGAATGAAGTAAGCCATTTTAAGTTCCCCTTGGGGAGAAAGATGGGATATAAATTAGAAGAAGAGAAGATATTGGAGTCTCAGAGCAGCTTACAAACTCCTTTCCCTTCCCCTCCCCACAACAGACACCCTGTGAGGTAGGTGGAGCTGAGAGAGCTCTGACAGAAACTGCTCAGCAAGAAGAGAAAGCTGGGAGAGGGACTAAGAAAGGGAGGGCAGCCCTCGTAACTTAAGGGATACTGAAAGAGATTGAGAGGAATGGTCTAGAGAACAGGTTCCCGGATCCTACCCCAAAGCCGAATATGAACAAGCTTTCCAAATTGGTTGTCCGGCCCTCCTCTTTGGAAGCAGTTGACAAGCACCGTACACAGCAACCAGGGACAGGATTTATACTTCCGCACGCCCCACAATGCCAGATAAACATCAGCACGGCATTCTCCAACTTGCTATGCTGTCCTTCCCCTGGGCGTTGCCTCAGCAAATTCTCTTTTCATTCCCTCGGGATGTAACGGCCCGCCACAACCGCCTGCTGGCACCCGGTTTCACAAGCCAAACGTTCTGCATTTGGAGCATGGCATAATTCTGGCATGCACTTTCTTTTGCCTCTCCCCTGTAGGCAATTGAGCGGCTCTTTAAACTGGGGGGGGGACGCTGAGAACTGACTGACACCTGTATGGTTACTGGACTTGGGTCCCCGTCTCCCATATCTGTTGAGTGTTTTGACTAGAAGAAGAGATTGGATTTATACCCCGCCTTTCACTACCCAGAGGAGTCTCAGAGCAGCTTACGACCTCCTTTCCCTTCCCCACAACAGACACCCTGTGAGGCAGGTGACGCTGAGAGAGCTCTGACAGAAACTGCTCTTTTTCAAGAACAGCTGTGCCAGAACTATGGCTTGCCCAAGGTCATCCAGCAGGTGCAAGTGAAGGAGTAGGGAATTAAGTAAATAGATATTCTATTCAATTGATATTCTATTCAATGTGATGTTCTGGAAATGCTAGGCATGAGGGACAGAGACCCCAGATCTTTGAGTACATCAGCCAAGGCTCCCATTTGGAAAATATAAATAGTAAGAAGAGTTCCATTAAGCATGTGCAGAGTTCCAGGTTACAGCTGGCGAAGCGCTGTGGTCAGATTAGGGCCTAGGATAACTGAGTCAGTCACAAGTTCTCTCAGAGCTGTTCTCTCAAGACCAGTCCTCTCAGAGCTCTCTCAGCCCCGCCTACCTCACAGGGTGTCTGTTGTGGGGAGGGAAAGGGAAAGGAGAGTGTAAGACGCTCTGAGATTTCAAGTGAAGGGCTGGGTATAAATCCCTCTTCTTCTTCTACTACTAATTCTTCTCCTCCTCCTCCTCTGGCTGTCGCTGCCACCACAGCACAAGGATCTGCAATGTGTTACTGAAGTTCAGCCATGGCAATCATTTTGTGGCTGTTTCTGCCTGCGGCGGTGGCCATTTTGTGGCAGCCATTTTGTTGCTGTGCCCACCACGCCGTGTCAGAATTCCGAATCCGCTCACAGGCTCCAAAATGGTGGGAAACCCTGTGTTAGAGTGTCACTAGTTAGCTAACTAGTGTAAGACATCCAGCCCGCGGCATTTACAACATTCTGTACACAGACTGAAAAAGTCACTGCAGAGCTGGAAGAAGCACAGAAGAAGGCAACCGAGACAAGGGGCCAGCGCAAACATTTTAACATGCAAAAACACATGTAAACACATTGCAGATGTTCTCCAAGGCTAACTGAACAAAAGCAGCACGAACTGCATAGTGGGACCTCAGAGCAAGGGGCTGGAAGAATTAAAGTAGGGCTGAGCCATTCAGAAATATTTACAAATCACTAAACAATTTTCTGAAATAGCAGAAACCAAATTTGGGTGGGACAAACATTGTCCAACACGCACTGTCTCCTACAGTTTAAGAAGAGTTAGCTTTGTATCCTGCCCTCCACTCAGAGACTCAGAGTAGTTTACAGTCTCCTATTCCCTTCCCCTCCCCACAACAGACACCCTGTGAGGTAGGTGGGGCTGAGAGAGTTCTGAGATAACTGCTCTTGAGGGAACAGCTCTGAGAGAACTTGTGACTGACAGAAGGAGGAGGAGGAGGAGAAGGAGAAGATTAGATTTATACCCCACCCTTCACTCAGACTCTCAGAGCGGCTTACAATCTCCTTCCCTTCCCCTCCCCACAACAGGTAGGTGGGGGTGAGAGAGCTCTGAGAGAACTGCTCTTGAGAGAACAGCTGAGAGAACGGTGACTGACCCAAAGTCACCCAGCTGGCCACATGTGGAGGAGTGGGGAAGCAAGCCCAATTCTCCAGATTAGAGTCCGCCACTCTTAACCACTACACCAAACGGGCTCTCTCTTAATTTATTTACTTGATATGCCCCACACGTCTCTCCCCAACGGGAACCCAAGGTGGCTTCCTACATGGTTCTCTTCTCCTCTGTTGTATCCTCACAACCCCGTGAGGTAGGCTAGGCTGAGGGAGTGTGACTGGCCCAAGGTCTCCCACCAAGCTTCCATGGCAAAGTGGGATTTGAACCTGGGCCTCCCCGGTCCTAGTCTGACACTTGAACCACTACACCACACTGCTATGGTTGAAAACGCTTTCCCTTTCTCCATACAAGTCAATGGGGTGGATGATGTTTGTTCCACTGACTGGGATGATGAACTGGAAAACATTTGCAATCAGATGAACTGCCGTCTGGCACACCACCACACCCACAACTCCCATGTGTGATCTGTGAGCTACTCATCTTTTCCCTTTGCATCACTATCAATAACTTTCCAAAACTATGACATCTACAGCACTCCCCCCACACAGATGACAAACAACTGCGCTGAAGAAAACAAAAAGGTGCATCTTTTTACTCCCCCTTTTGCACAACTGACTCCGTATTAAATATTTTAAATATATTAATTCTTTCCCTTTAAAAAAAAAAGTATCAATAAAAAGCATTCAAAAAAGAAAACTGGCAGAATGGAGAAAGTCGTATTTCGATGGCAGGATGACAGGATATGTTTAAGAAAAGTAACAGATGAAGGAAAAGGGAAACCATTCATCCAGTAGGGCATTCCGTGGATCTTGCAACCAGACAACGGTGCACAAGATAGGAAAAGTACACTTGAGTGTGTTAACAGAGGAAAAGAGGGGTTCGTATTTTGAAACATGGAGTGTTTTTGGTATTTTGAATGCTCTCTTTCCTCCAGTTCTGTCTCGTTCAGTTTTTAAGCAAGTGTTCAGGTTTGGGATATCCGAAAAGGACAAAGTCCGCTTCGTAAAGCTTGTACAACTGCTGCCTCCATGCCACAGGGATTTTGGCAAACCAGTCTTCCTCCCAGCTACTGGCTGTCCTGTTCCGGTAGCTGGGAGGGAAGCGGAGGAGGTCGTCCACTTTGAGAAGCTGTAGCAGGTGAGCCGCATCTTCGTCCAAGGTCTCCAGCTTGCCAATAAAGTCATATTCTATTTGGCACGGGTGGCAGAGGCGGTACACCTGCCTCCAGTGCTCATTGAAAGGGGCGAGCTTTTCCGTCCGAGGATCCAGTAAGTACTGGATGAAATCCGAAAAGGAAACTCGGAGGCCCGCTTCAAAGGCCTCGCTGACCGAGGTAGGGATACTGGTGTGGTTGGAGTACAGCTTCAGCATCGGGATGGCGAACCGGCGGTAGAACTCGTCATTCTCCAGCTCGAACTTGCTGCGGAAGGCCGAGATGAGTCGGACGAAGGGGTCGCGGACAAAGAGGAACTTGGTGTATTTTTTCAGCTTGATCTTCATGAGGTGGCGGGAGAACTTGCCGTAGCGGCGCCAGAATTTGTTGAAGGTGAAGTGAGTGCTGGAGTTGTGGACGTGCTCACGGGGGATGTCTAAGGGGTCGCCGTAGGGGATACCCTGGTCCATCAAGCTCTCGCTCAGCACAATCATCACCCGCTTCCAGTTGGTACACGCCACTTTAGGGACATAACAATAGATAATGCCGTGGCGGTCGTCGACGATCAGGTGGTTCAGCTCGTAGTTGGGGATGTCCTCAAATGAGCGGTCCTTGGTTGGGAAGGCGAAGCTGGAATTGGCACATAATTCCCTCAGAGTCTTCCGTCTCTCGGCCTGTGTCTTCTCTTGATCCAGCATCGTTCTGGCATCACGAGTGGACCAGTCGTAACCCCTCACGTTCTCCTCCAAGTTGCTGATGATGGGCCTGCTGGATGCTGGCAAAGGCGGCTGCTCCGTCTTCTGATCAACACGGTACCTCAGTTCAGAAGTCAGGAGTTTCTCCAGAAACTCATCAACATCTGACAGAGAACTCTGGCCATCGTCCCCGACAACAGTAGGAAGCACCCCATGAGGCCTGGAGAAGGAAGTGTGCAGGTAGAAGTGAGCCGTTCCCACGTTATCCCAATACACGATAATCAGCAGGATCATGAAGACAGAACCCACCACCACCGAAAGACGGAAGAGCCGCGCTTTGGTCATCCTGGCAAGCAATTTCACGAGTCACTTCCCAGTCGGTTCACCTCCAGCTCAAGGAGAAAAATCTGAAACCCTGCATGGTGCTTTTGTGGGCGGTCAGGATCCTGCGAAGATACCAGAAGCAAAATTAAACTACTTTTCCCTGCACACACACAAAAAACTCAGAACACGGTGTGCACGGAAACCGTCATTTCAGACTGAACCTCCAGTATGAATATCTGAATCCATATAATACCAAATCCCTGACCTGGATAGCCCAGGCTAGCCCAATCTTGTCAGAACTCGGAAGCTAAGGAGGCTCAGCCCTGGCTAGTATTTGGATGGGAGACCACCAAGGAACACCAGGGTCATGATGTGGAGGCAGGCAATGGCAAACCACCTCTTGTTTGCTTCTTGCCTTGAAAACACTACAGCAGGGGCTGTCAAACATGCAGCCCAGGGGCCAGATAAGGCCCCCGGAGGGCTTCTATCATGCCTGCAGTAGAACTGGCTGTCTTCTGCTTCTTCTTCCAGCTCTGCTGCTGCTGCGTCATTGTAGGTTTGCAGCTTACAGGTACACACAGCTGAACAGCACACTCAAGATTGCAACAGCACAGACATTTGGATACAATAATTCAGAGCAAGAGGTGTCAGTTATCAGACACTGTTAAATAAACAAAATATTGCAAGAGTGCCAACGTTTTAAGCGTGTTTTGTAATTTTAAGTTTAAAAAAACCCTTTGTGTTTGTGTCCTTGATAACGTTTATATCTCCGCTACCTGGCATTACATTTTATGACACACGTGGCCCCAGCCCAACAAGGTCTCATTTTTGTCAGATCCGGCCCTCGTAACAAATGAGTTTGACACTCCTGACCTACAGGGTCACCATGAGTCAGCTGTGACTGGACAGCAAAAAAAACAAAAACCAACCATAAAAACCAATCAGACCAATACCTAGCTGAGGATTGCCCTGACTTGGATGGGTCGGACTGGTCCGATCTTATTAGGTCTCGCAAGCTAAGCAGGGTTGGCCCTAGTTAGTATTTGGATGAAGGACAACCAAGGAAGCCCAGGGTTCCTATGCAGAGGCAGGCAATGGCAAACTTCTGGACATCTCTTGCCTTTGAAACCCCCATGCCTGTAACTCTTCCTACCACCATCTGAGGATCCAAATATCTGCTTTTTTAAAAGAAAGAAAGAAAGAAAGAAAGAAAGAAAGAAAGAAAGAAAGAAAGAAAGAAAGAAAGAAAGAAAGAAAGAAAGAAAGAAAGAAAGAAAGAAAAGAAAGCTGTATGGATCAATGTCAGTTGTAGTGGGGCCTTGTCCACACAGGGGCTCGACCTGACAGCGGGGAACATCCAGGACAATTAGGGTGTCCCGGGTAAGCAACGGAAACCGAGCCCAGAAACAAAGCAGTGGGTCATGAAGGCCTTTCAAAATGCATCGACCACCATTCCTACAGCTACCCTAGTTGTTCAGTCCAGGACTGTATATGCCCTGAATTTTTCTGGGCTATCCTCAATGGCAGCCCACATTCCTACACTGCAATAATCAACACGAGATGCTACCATACCACAGTCGACGAAAGAATAATCCCCATTCTCCAGGAATGGGTGCATTTGGCATCCTGGTAACTATGTCCTCGGTTATGAATGCCACCTGACTTTCCAGGGCAATGCTGGAAGAGGAGGAGGAGGAGAGACTGGATTTATACCCTGCCCGTCACTACCTGAAGGAGTCTCAGAGCGGCTTACAATCTCCTTCCCCTTCCCCTCCCTCCAACAGACACCCTGTGAGGTAGGTGGGGCTGAGAGAGCTCTGAGAGAACTGCTTGTGAGAGAACAACTCTGAGAGAACTTGCGACTGATCCAAGGTCACACCAGCAGCTTCATGTGAAGTAGGGAATCAAACCCGGTTCTCCCAGATTAGAGTCCACGCTCCTAACTACCACACCAAACTGGCACTTAAAATCTGTAGGTGCCAGCACTGAGGGCACCTTTGGAATTCTGACCCAGTGTGGTGGGTGCAGCCAAGGAGGCGGAGCCAGCCACAAAATGGCAGCCCCAAGGAGGCGGAGCTATCTACAAAATGGCTGCCACAAGGAGGCAGAGCCAGCCACAAAATGGCTGCTGCAGCATACCTTCAATGAAGATACTTGTGTTGTGTTGGCAGCTGCTGCCAAAGCAATGTTTTTAAAAAATCTGCACAGCCAATCAAATCTCCAGTGGCCAACTGTGCTGGCCCACAGTCCCACCCACTTTCTGAAAACACTTGGTGGGCACCACGTTGGGGACTCCTGTTCTAGGGTGCAGCAACACTTCTAAGCTCCCGAGGGAACCCTGGAGGCATCATTAAAAATCTGCCATTAACACTTTCCATTAGATAAACCTCGAACAGCTGTGTTTTCCTACAGCTATTGTTTTGTTTTTTTAAGAAAGCTCGTCCAAAATACTTCATCACCGTATTTTTAGCACCATAGCTGCCTCGAGGACAACGTTCATCCATGCCCGTACTAGTTGAGAAACCAGAGCAAAGAGAACAGGAATGCAGCTCCGACAGAAGTTTGCATTCTCCAGGGCACAAACGTCTGCCAGCAACCAGTGCCCTCCCTGGGCCGAGAAAAGAATGTGCCCATTTTGGTCATGAACGGTCGTCAGGGCATCTGCTAGAACCTTCCTGTATTTTGAACCAAATTAGTGATTTTAAAAACAGGAGACACTTTGGAAAGCTTTTGACACGTCCACCACTGTTGATCATCTCGTCCAGGAAGAACCTCCATGGAATGCAGCTTGCCAAGCACTACTAGTGGTGGGTGAAAGCATTTCACCAGCAAGGAAGGTATGGGGAGAGGGCGTGGCTCAGTGGCAGAGCCTCCGCTTGGCACGCAGAAGGCCCCAGGTTCAATACCCGGCATCTCCAGTTAAAAGGACCAGGCAGGAGGTGATGGGAAAGACCTCTGCCTGAGACCTTGGAGAGCTGTAAGGAGGGGCCGTGGCTCAGTGGTAGAACCTCTGCTTGGCATGCAGAAGGCCCCAGGTTCGATCCCCGGCATCTCCAGTTAAAAGGACCAGGCAGGAGGTGATGGGAAAGACCTCTGCCTGAGACCTTGGAGAGCTGTAAGGAGGGGCCGTGGCTCAGTGGTAGAACCTCTGCTTGGCATGCAGAAGGCCCCAGGTTCGATCCCCGGCATCTCCAGTTAAAAGGACCAGGCAGGAGGTGATGGGAAAGACCTCTGCCTGAGACCTTGGAGAGCTGTAAGGAGGGGCCGTGGCTCAGTGGTAGAACCTCTGCTTGGCATGCAGAAGGCCCCAGGTTCGATCCCCGGCATCTCCAGTTAAAAGGACCAGGCAGGAGGCGATGGGAAAGACCTCCACCTGAGCCCCTGAAGAGCCGCTACCAGTCTGAGTAGAAAAGACAGACTGTGATGGAACAAAAGTCTGATTCAGTAGAAGGCTGCCTTATGCATCCATCTCCCAGGTCCACATAGCCACTGGTATGGTTGCCAATCCCCATTTGGGGGCAGGGGATTCCTTGGTTTGGAGCCCCTCCCCCCACTTCAGGGTGATCAGAAAGCGGGAGGGGATAGCTGCTGGGTGCTCCATTACACCCTATGGAGATCGGTCCCAGTAGGGTATAATGGAGAATCGATCTGTGGGTATCTGTGGATGGACGTTTTTTGAGTTAGAGGCACCAAACTTTCAGCATAGCAGCTGGTGCCTCTTCTCAAATAAACCCCCAAGTTTTACAAAGATTGGAGCAGGGGGTCCAATTCTATGAGCCCCAAAAGAAGGTGCCCCCATCCTCCATAATTTCCAATGGAGGGAAAGCATTTAACATTTGACAGCCACTCACTCGGAACTCACTTTGGAGTTCCCTCTCCCGGAACCTCCTGGTAAGTCCCTTGCTCGCTTGTCGGCCTCACCTGGCAACCCTAGCCGCTGGCCAGGTGGTATTGGCTAGAGGGGTGTGGTTTGGACCCAGCCGACAGTGGTGCAGTCCCTGGAGGAAATGACAGTCCCAAGACACTGGTGGCTGGGAGTGGGACGAACCCCTGCAGGACAATATTGACCTTGATGGACCAAGGGTCTGATTCAGTTAAAAGCAGCTGCAGTTATTCCTGTGCATTCATGGTTATTCTCACAATCAGTGCGAGAAAGAAAGAGACCTGCAAAAGACGGTATTGTCTACTCAGACCAGCAGCAGCTCTCCAGGGTCTCAGGAAGGAGGTCTTTCACAGCACCCACTACCTGGTCCTTTTAAATTGAAATGCTGGGGATTGAACCGGGGACCTTCTGCACACCAAACATATGCTCTGCCAGTGAGTCACATCCCCTCCTGTAAATGTAGGAACCTAACACCAGCAACCCTAAACAGAATTACAACCTTGACGTAGAAGGGCATCACCCTGTGCAGACATTGCACTGACAACTAAGTAATGTGGTTTGATATACTAAGTTACAAACAGTGTCCCCTCTGAGCTGAGTTAGTGTGAGCTAGCTCACAGTTTTTTAGCCTCCGGCTCACACCTTTTTGTCTTAGCTCAGGAAGAGGATGGGCTCCAGAGCAAACTAATTTCTGCAGCAGCCAAATCGCTCGCTCACAACTTGAATGCCAGTAGCTCACGCATCAGAATTTTTGCTCACTAGGCTCCACAGCTTAGAGGGACCATTGGTTACAAACAGGATGTTTTACACTGTGGACACAATAAAATAAACGGTAAGTCTGATAAGAAAGTGTGATATATTCCCTGGCTAGCCCAGGCAAGCACAATCTCGTCATATCTTGGAAGCTATGCTTCTTCACCCAAAGAGTGATTAACACATGGAGTTCACAGCAGGTGGTGGCGGCTACAAGCATGGACGGCTTTAAGAGGGGATTGGATAAGCATATGGAGCAGAGGTCCATCAGTGGCTATTAGCCACAAGGGATAGATAGGAACTCTCGGTGTGGGGCAAGGGATGCACTGTGTTCTTGGTGCTTGGCAACAGTTGGAGAGCTTCTAGTGTCCTGACCCCACTGGTGGACCTCCTGGTGGCACCTGGTATCTTTGGCCACTGTGTGACAGAGTGTTGGACTGGATGGGCCATTGGCCTGATCCAATATTGGCTTCTCTT